CAGCCTACCTTTGGTCCTCTCTCACTCTCATTCACATTCACTCAAACCATGTAATCTACCACAGAGAACAGCAGATTATAGGGTAGAGACTTCCATTTCCGAACGGTTCAGTGGAAAAGAAGCAAGGGATAAAGACAGGGAAAGACAGATAAAGAAAAGGAGGAAGAGGAAGATTGAGCCAGCTGAGTGACGCTGGCAATACACTGCTGTGGCATGGCTCAGCTGGCATGGCTGAATGCCTGATTGTGTGGGCAGATGTTTCAGAGAGAAGGGAGCAGACCCCATAGGGGCTGTGGTGACACAATAGGGAGGCTTTCAATTAGGCCAAACTAAGGCGCTCTTATGCCAGGTGCCAGCGGCCAGGTGTTATCTTACACCACAAACCGTCGCTCGTGCCTTCTTATACATTACAGACATACAGTATATTCATTCCATAAGCTGCAGTACTGATTTGAGGGGTGTGTGTGTGTGTATGCGTTTGTGAGAAACCGAGAGAGAGAGAGAGACTTTTCATGTCGAGCTAAGTTGGTGCAGGCTGGTGGTGGCTGCCAGCATGGCTCATATGAGTGCTGGAGCGGGCGGACCCCGAAGGCACTGACAGAGACAAATGCGGGATCAGAGCACCGGTCGCAGGATGCAGCTGGCGTGCATCAAGTGCTTCCGCATGGCAATTAAACTGACGGCTGGACTCGAAGACACGGCCAGACTGATACTCGTACACAAAGTCCACTGCATCTGCATCTCAGAACGCTGCACACAATCAGGAGGGTTTATGATTCCGATTATGGTGAATTACAAACTCGACTCTTTAAACAATAACAAATGTCTCACTGCTGCAGACGGCAAATGTTGGTTTTTTTATTTCAATATGCTCTGGAGTTTTTCATTTCATCTGCAGGGGCCTTTTGATGAAGTTTCAACAACTTTCATGAGAAGCAAAAAAGCTTTTAATTAAGTTTTGCATCTATGGAGTCTTTCTTAAAGGGGTAGTTCACCCAAATATGTTCTGCAGAACAACCAAGCTCCTACACTTTTAAAAATAAGGGTGCTTCACGAGACCATAGAAGAACCTTTTTGTCTAAATGGTTCCATAAAGAACCTTTAACATCTGAAGAACCTTTCTGGTTCTTTTTCTCATCTAATTTTATAACCATCACCATATCCCTTTAGGGGTTCAATAAAGAACAAATTCTGAAGACCGTCTTTGTACATATATTGAGAGTCAATGGGGACATTAGATCCAATTGACCTTCATTGAATAGAAATAAAAAACTAAAAAGTGAGACATTTTTAAAAAAGACCTTCTATAGAAGGTGTGCAATGACATGAGGGTAAGTAAAACATGACAAAATGTTAATTTTTTGGGGTGAACTGTCTCTTTAAGCTTCACCCCAGCATTTGAACATTTGGCACAGCGATCGCAGCGTCTTCAAATCAATCATGTGCTGTAGTTTTAAGACTCCCTAAAGTGCAACTTAATGGTGTAATGGAGTCAGAGCTTGATTTATCTGCTGAAGATTATCACTGTTCCTCAATGTTGGAGCAGAAGCGAACTTCCTTCCTTCACTTTGGAGCTGATATTCCGGGAATCCTTTCCTGTACCTGATGTCGGTTCTGCTTAGTCAAATTTGCGCTCTATTTTGATAACTCAGAGGTTGGGACAAAGTCATCGGATTGAAGTAGCCTTGCACTGAGACTTAATTGATTAGGTCAGTCTGTACGTCTTCCTGCTTTTAGCTGAGGAATTCAATTGGAATGAGGGCCAAGAGATTGTGATAATTACTGATTGGGCAATGAGGACTGAAGACTCCCAGAGGCCTCAAACCATGATTATAATCATAGGAGCATTGTGACCCTGTTGATTAAAGCCAGATATGACTTTAACAAGCTGAGGGCAGCGGGATGGCTCTACTATTAAAACATAAGAACATCCTACACTGTAGGCACTGTCACTTTATGTCCAACTCTATGGGACGACCTCCAAAAGTGAGATCTTCTGAATCTTTCTTCCGATTATGTGCAATTGTACAGTCCCAGACTATACAGCTGAATTATGTGCGGTTTGTGAGTGGAAACATCATGTCTTCAAGAAAACTTTTAAGGATTTGAATATTTTAAACTATCTGGAGCACTTTAATTCATTACTACATTGGTGGAAATACAAATCAGCTTGTCAGTCTTCGCAACAATTCAGACACTGTCTTGTAGCGACTTCTAGTGGTGTATATTAACAATGAGCAAGCTAGTAAAAGATTGCAGGAGGTTTGATTTGACATTTTAAATATTTAATGACAGGTACGCTGCCATACAGATAGGATATCCTATATATTAAAACAGTCTTGGTGATTAATAACGTGTTACAAACGTATATCACTTGTCAGTATAGCAAATTAACGGAATAAATCTCGCAGCCCCGTTATAGATGGGCGAAAATACGATGTTAATTTTGATTGATGAGTGTTTGAGCCAGGTTTGAGCAATAGGGAAAGGGCTTTCATTTCCTTTCCCCAATAAATAAATAAATGTGTATCATAAAGATTTACCCTGGTTCACCAGGGCTGTGGGGCAAACTGAGATACTTTGTAACATGTTGGCTTTTAATATATTAGCCTACTATTCAATGGTTTGGGGTGGGTAAGATTTTTCATGCTTTTGAATAAAAGTCTCTTATGAGACTAAATTTGGTTGATAAAAATACACTACATCCAGTAATCATTTCACAAATCATTTTCAGTATTGAGAACAGTTGTGCTGCTTAATGTTTTTGTGGAAATAAAATCATTTTATAAGTATTTTATATAATTGTATAACGATTTTTGTTTCAGGATTCTTTGATGAAAAGTCAAAAAAAAATTTTTTTTTAAATAGAAATCTTTTGCAACATTGTAATAGTCTTTGCTGTCTTTTGATCAATATCTGTTTTGTCATCATTGCTGAATAGGATTATTTATTTATTCAGTTTTTAGTATTATTAGAACTTCACAGACATTGTGCAGCAGCAACTGTGGCACTAAAGTAAGTTATAAGAGCATATCAGATGATACTGGCATTTTCATGTGACAGACCCCCTAAATATTTATATGTTAAATAACTATTTGGGTTTAAATTTTACCATAAACTTGCTGCCAATTTCACTATTGTCGTCTTTTTTTATGTTACACTGAATGAATGTATCCACTCAACACTGGGATGATCTCAAAGAAAATCTATTTTTCGTCTGCACAAAATCAGTTACAATATTGAACCTCCTCAACATGATCTTACCAAAGCAATGTGCACTTTTCTGATACTGACAATGCAACAACTGGCAAGCTAAAATGAAATTAAAACTAAAATGAGCCACATGTACAGCAATGTTTTCTTGTTTATTATCAGCAATTCATCAGACACATATAAACAACCTGTAGGAAAAGAAGAAAGCAACATTTTCACACAGTAACTTGGTTCGCCCCAGCGAAGATCAGTAACAATAGACTCTCTCTCTCTTTCTCACACACACACACACACTCCCTCCACACACATATACCGTCAAACACAGATTGAGAGGTTCATACTAAACACTTTGTGTAGTAAAAAAAAGAAATGAACAAATTGATCTATAATAAAGAAATCATTAAATAAAAGATCATTCATGTATTTACAAATGAACAAAACAAGCATTAACACAAGTAAACATTCCTTTCACCCGTCGCATTTGAAAGCAAATTCAATGATATGCCATTAGAAATCAATAGTGCCCATAGTTCATTCACTGCAGATATGGTTTTTGGGAAAAGTGGCCCTAACCTACTCATTTGTGCTTTTCTACCCAATTTTTAGAAGGTTGGTGACACTGATGACCATTTCAGTCATATCTGAATCCACATATCTTTGTTACCAATTCTGTTGGTGTGTGATTACTTATACGCAGGTTCATGGCATGGTGACAAAAAACTTGCACCCTTATAAAATAAATAAATAATAATAATAATAAAAAGAAGAAGAAGAAAAAAGAATAAATAAATAAAAATACTAAATACAAAATAATAATAAAAGAAAACAAATATTTTTTTCTCTTTTCCTTTGAATTACAAGCACTTATTACACGGCTCTCTGGAATACTCTAGTCGGGTCAATCATCATTTATGGCAACACTGTACATCAGCCTAGCGTCACTTTCAAATCTAACGCAACTGGCGCCATCTAGTGTCTCAGTTAATGTATCACATTAAATGTCTTCAGTTTTAATATTACTGTAATGTTGCAGTGTTGTCTTGTTGCTAGGCTGATTGTTCTGTATTTTGTAACTAACTTTTTTTCTTCGCTTAAGCTTTACAATAATATAAAAGTTAAATTATAAAATTATTTAAATTTAAATCAATTTTCAATGTCAATGTGCATTTGCCAAATAACCGTGTAATAAGCAGGATAGTGTACAGTAAGCTGGTCATTTTCACCGGAGTAATTTTAGCATTATTCATTTAATTATTAATATTTTGAATTAGCTTTTAATTCATACGGTCCATTTTCATTTTAGTAATTTTGGTAAGTGCTTGTTATTTTTATGCTTCTATATAGCTTTAATTTTTTGTTTCAGTTTTAGTTGTAATTTTAGCATTTGAAAATGATGAGCTGATGATGATGATGATGGTTATGTTAGACCTGACCATGAGGGAGCAGTGTGGGAACAGAAACGGGCTACAATATTTGCCTAATATATATTTAAACATTTCTTTGAATATATTAGTCTAGTTGTATGGATATACTGCACCTTTTTATTTTCTAAACAACAGCAATCTCATTTTCCAGTTATAATACCTACAAATTCTTGAAACAAGATCAATTTACATGAGAAGCAACAATGCATTATGACGTGATTTAACAGAATAAGATACAGTATATGATACATGATGCTATTATAAATGTCATAGAATGTTCAGTTTTATATTCTGTATTATTTCATTTCAAGTTAGTTGCAAAGGCAACATTCGGCAAAATATTTTTTTTTTAATAGTCCTCTATTATTTATATTAGAAATCACCATGTCAGGTTTTATTTTGTAATAATAACCAGCTCACTGTACATCATCCCTTACGTAATGTCTCAGCACAAACCACAGCATTTCTTCATTCTAATGAATGAGCTGAGATTTGTTCAACCTCAAATCAGGTTCGGAATAGGTAATAATAATGTCAAACGAATGCTTCCACAAGTAATCATTCAATATCAGAGTATTGGTTTTTCAGAATCTAGCTGATATGAAAAGGCATGCTGTTATTGTGTTAGACAGTCACGTTATATAAACTGCAAACAGAACTGGTTCACACAGACACAGTAGGATCAGTAAATCAAACAGCATACTGTTAAAAGCGCTCCAATTATGAACACAGAGCCCTTGGAATCAGAGACGAAAGACTGCAACACATGGAAAACTCTAAGGTGAAAAGAACCATTGAATCATACACAAGTCAATCAGGCAAAGAAAGCAAACACATGGCTGATTGCAACTGTACATACAACAAGGGGGGGGGTTTGGAGTCCACAAAAAACTTTTCAACAGCCCCTTTATCACAAACAGGAGGTAACCAGTAAACAAGTATGTATAAACAAACACCAGTGAGTTCCATCAGAAGAAAAAGGGCTACTTTTGTTCTCTCTCGCTCTCTTTTTAAAAAAAAAGAAACGTGTCTAGCACAAGACTGTACATCATCTTGTTTTGCGAGAGGCAGTTTTCTATGGCAATGCTATAAGTAAATGTTCATGCTGCACTAATATAGTGCAAAATAGAGCCTGGATACAGAAAGGGGGAAAGGCAGGCCAGAGTTTCTATAGGGGGCGCTAGAGAGCCCATTCAATCTGCAGTCTTTTATCCTTCTGATCACACAATATTGAGCGTTTCGGGGCTGAAAATGCTATTGTGTATTTAGTTTGTCTGAACATGCGACCTCCCAACAGCCACAGACAATGTACATATTGCAGGACTAAACAGGAGACGGGTATATTTTGTGCTTTCTCAGCAAAAAAACTTCCCAATTTCAAAAAAGCTCCTGCAACTTTCCTCCTGAAAGACTAAAGTCTATGTTACAGAAAGATGTCGATGGCAGAGAGGTGAAGGCAGACTTCCTGAAGAAGATTTTTGAAGATTTTATGAAGGCTCTCGTGAAATAAAGTCAAAAAACTTGAACGTAAAAAAAGGAGGGGGGAGAAACATTATATAAACCCAGATCGAGTCTCTCTCTCTGAGGTTCCATTAGCGTCTTATAAAAAGCAGTCGGTGAGTTTGCGCGAGTCTCCTTGTTTGAGGCTTGTACCGATGGCCGACTGTGAAAGGAGGCGAGTATCTGTAGTATGAAGCAAACGTGGTTAAGCTACATGTCAGCATCGCCGTCGTAAGCCAGCGTCAGAGGCTTGAGTCTGTTGTTCATCTGTCTTCTCTGGGGCTTCTTTGGCTTTTTGCTGTGGAAAAAATAATAGCTATTATTACAAAGCAACTACATGTTACTTCAACAGATGCAATAAGATAGCAAGCTTGTTTACCTGCACATATGAACTAAATCTATATTTGAAAAGCTCTGACCTATTACTGTACATCTAATGTTGTATAACAGAGCATTAAATCTGTCACCTTTATATCGATTGCATCTGTTTATTCATGTTTTATCATTTTGCTATATCGAAATGCCTCACATTTGTGTTTTTCCAAGGCATTTTATGTTGTTAGATGTCCATGCACTGCTGCTGGTTGCCATGCATTAGCAAAGGCCTTTTTATCATGCAATAGATGAATCTAACGTAGCTTATCCCAATATAATATTACACACATCATCACTGTAATTTTAGTATCACTGAGATATTATTAAAGCGCTTATTCATATTTTAAATGAGTTCTAATATTTTCTTTTTAAAGTTTTAGTAATTTTCTGGTGTTTGTCATTTTTATTATTATAATTTTTTTATATATATATAGTCACTTTATTTCAATTTCAGTTTTAGTTATTTTAGTACATCAAGTTAAATTAAATTAAAATGATACATGTTTCGCTGGCAAATAAGTAAAATCCGTTTTAAAATATGTATTTAATTTTATTTACATTTCAAGTAATGGAAATGTTTATACATTAAATGTTTAAACATTTTAATATGTTAAACATTTATATAATAACCCTGTACTGCACATTTGTCATTTAAGTGTGCAGTGTATTATTTTGCAACTTTTAATTAAATATTTAACTAGATAAGGCATGAAGACAGATGTTAAAAGTGGTCAGAAGTGATTATTAATTATTATGTTTAGTAATCGGCTGCCATGCTAACTTTTACAGGAAGCATAGCTTTAGCAGTGGAGAGAACAGGGAAGCAGCCAGCAGCACGTCCCAGCCCACTAAACTCTACAAACCAAACTTACCTTAGTGAGTACTATGACACAGAGATAGGGACACATGTGAATACAACATCCTCTAAACCTCAGGGTCATTTTAGCTCAAAAGTCAACTATTATCAGAATAACTTATATAGAGAGAGAGAGAGAGAGAGAGAGAGAGAGAGAGAGAGAGATATGGTCAACATCAAGGAATATATCAGTATTTTGCATCACAGAGAAAAATTATGAGTGTTCATTGATGATGATGATGATGATGATGATGATGGTTATGTTAGACCTGACCATGAGGGGGCAGTGTGGGAAAAGAAACGGGTTACAATATTTGCCTAATGTATATTCAAACATTTCTTTGAACATATTAGCCTATTTGTATAGATACACTGCAAAAATCCTATTCTTAATGTATTTTCTAAATAATAACAATCTTTATTTTCCAGTTACAACAGTGCATTATGATGTGATTTAAGAGAATAAATTAAATACTGTATATATATGATGAAATTATAAATATGTCACATAATGCTGAATTTTATTTTCTGTATCATTTCATTTCAAGGTGTATTTCATTTCATATTTCATGAGGCTTTTCATTTTAAGGCACATTTAATATTATTTTACACAATATTTATTTATGCTCACATTTCATTGTATTTTTTTATTTATTTATTGGAACATTCTATGACATACGTGACCCTGGATTACAAAACCAGTCATAAGGGTCAATTTTTAAAAAATTGAGATTTATACATCATATACATCTGAAAGCTGAATAAATAAGCTTTCCATTGATGTATGGTTTGTTAGGATAGGACAATATTTGGCCGAGATACAACTATTTGAAAATCTGGAATCTGAGGGTGCAAAAGAAAAAAAATATTGAAAAAAAAATTGCCTTTAAAGTTGTCCAAATGAAGTTCTTAGCAATGCATATTACTAATCAAAAATTAAGTTTTGATATATTTAATGGTAGGAAATTTACAAAATATCTTCATGGAACATGATCTTTATACTTAGTGTACTAATGATTTTTGGCATAAAAGAAAAATCGATAATTTTGACCCATGCAGTGTATTTTTGACCATTGCTACAAAAATAGCATGCTTATGACTGATTTTGTGGTCCAGGGTCACATTTTTAATAATTTCATTACATATGTAATTTAGTCTGTTAAAATGCTCCATGATGCATTAGAGGTTTTACAGTGAATGTGTCTTGAATAGAAGTGTATTTTGTCTGCACTAACAGATTTATTTCCATTTGTTTTAAGTATAGAGTTTTAAGATAACAACAATCACTGTTTCTCAGATAAATGTATATTGTTTTATTGACTTTTTTAATGAGGCATAAATAAAAAAAGACTCATTAAACATTTGTTAAAAGAATAGTTCACCCAAAAAATAAAAAATAAAAAATGAGTTATCTTTTACTCACCCTCATGTTGTTCCAAACCTGTATAAGTTTCTTTCTTATATTGAACACAAGCGAAGATATTTTGAAGAATTCTGGTAATCAACAATTTTTGGTCACCATTGACTTCCATAGTAGGGAAAGAAATACTATGGAAGTCAATGGGGACCATCAGCTGTTTGATTAGCAGTATTCTTCAAAATATCTTCTTATACAAGAAGGAAACTTATACAGGTTTGGAACAACATAAGGGTGAGTAAATGATACAATTACAATTTTTGGGTGAACTATCCCTTTAAGAAGTTATTTTTTAGCAGTGTATATAAAGCTAGACTACTAAACTCCAGTAGATCTACCTGCTCACCTCCACCAAACAGCTCCATGTGATTGGTCAGAAAGGCACATGTGACAGTGAGAAGGCATAGGTGATGGACATGATTGGCCACAGGACAAGGCCATGAGGGAAGGGACTGAGCTGAGAGCTCTAGTTGAACTGAGTCTCAATGCGCTGACAGTCAGGGCAGGTATATATCATCTCTTGGTCGTTGGGTCCGACCCAAACCACAGAGGTAATGGAAGGGTCCGGGCTCGGAGGAGAGCGCCGGGCCAGCACACAAAAACTGATAGATATGAAGGGGTTGGGGATACAAATGAGAAGTGAGATAAATGGAAAAAGAAAGAAAAAAAAAATCTTAATCAGTATTTTTGTCTTGTCTTATAGGAAAAATGTGTAAAAATCGTTAAAATAAATTTCATTTACTCAACTTTTAGAGAATGTATTTTAAATTAAGTTTTTTTTTCTTATCTAACAATATTTATGGAGGTTTAAGCTTAAAAATTATTTAATTAATAATCATTTAAAATATAATCCCTTAAACGTGTTACTTCAAGTAAGGTTTTAATATGAACGTTTTATTTTATCTTATACATTTTTTCAATATTTTTGGTGGGAAACAAGACAAAAGTATTGATTAGGAAAATGAAGTGAAGCAGTCAAGTTGAAAGCAACTTACATGGGTTAACATAAATAAATGATAAAAAAGATGGATAGAATAAAGCAGATTTATGGAATGAACAAAATATCTCGTTTGCTGTTATAACAAATGTTCTTACCAGGCTAAGTAAGTCATAGAGACAATGAACACTAGCAGTACAAAAGCTCCAGCTGCCACACCATACACCCAGGTCTTCAGTTTGCCATCTGTGCAGATACACACACACATCAACACAAGTACACACCGCTGTACCTCAGATGTTCAGAACCAAGACAACACGCAAAGCACTGCCATTCTGTTCTACCTGTTTGGAACACCCTTCCTGTTTGGACCTTCATTTATAACTGTGGCCTCTGAAAGTATTTGCTTGGACAAAATTACAAAATTTCAATCTAAATAAAATGCAAACGTGCATAAAATGTTGTGATATTATACTTATATATTACAAATAAACCTATTCACTTTTAATTCAGACATTTGTGCCTAAATACATTTCATGCCCACTGTATATGTTTTTAACATTTATTTAGCAAAGCAAGTCTTATTATACACAAAAAGGGTTAAAGATGGTTAGCAGTAGTTAGTGTGAAAATATTAGTCTTGATGTTTAATATAAATGCATGTGAACATGTCTCTAATGTCGTCTGCAACCACTCAGAGTTATATCAAGTCATAAACTCACCGGGTCCGAAGGGCTGGAGGAACCAGGTGCGTCCGGAGCGGCCTGGCAGGTTGGCGGTGGGCTCAGTGGGGTTGAGGGCTCGGATCGTCTTCACGTCAGCCTTACTGTCTCCTGCGGTGGGGATCTCAAGCACCGGTATGACCGTGCACTGGTCCAGCACTCCATCAGAAGTCATCACCTCGGTGTAACCCTCCTCGCAGCCGCATACACCAGCCTGCAGGGGGAGACATTGCACCAGTTGAATCGGGTATGGTTTACCACAGACAATCAGCATACACAATTAAACATTGGAAATTAAACGAATGTATTATTATTATTATTATTAAATAAATTCATATTTTTATTTACCAAGGAAGCATTAAATGGTTACACTTTATTTTAAGGTGTTCTTGTTGCAGTGTAATTATACATTTAAGTACTGAGTAATATTAATTAACTACATGTACTTACTATATGGTTAGGTTTAGGATTAGAGTTTGGTTTAGGGTTACTTGCATGTAATTATGCATAATTAATTGTTATTATAATAGTAAGTACATGTAACGTGTAACAAGGACACCCTAAAATAAAGTGTTACCCATTAAATTGATCAAAAACGATAGTAGAGACATGTATAATGTTACAAAAGATTTCCATTTCAAATAAATGCTGTTTTTTTTTAACTTTCTATATATCAAGGATTTCAAAAATATTGAGCAGCACAACTGTTTTCAACATTGATAATAATAAGAAATGTTTCTTGACCACCAAATCAGCAGCATGTGAAAAAAAAGCTGCAGAAAATACAGCTTTGCCATCACAGGAATAAATGACATTTTAAAATATATTCAAATAGAAAACAATTATTTTAAATAGTAATATTTCAAAATATTGCTGTTTTTATTGCATTTTTGATATAAAAAGGTAGCCTTGGTGAGCAAAAGAGACTTTTTTTTCCAAAACCATTAAAAATTGTACCCCTTTATCCACTTTTGAACAGTAGTGTACTTAAAATAAATGAAAAATACATTTTAAAAATTATATTTTTTAATAAAGTTATTCAGAAATGGACAAGCCATTTAAACAGGGATTCATAATATATCAGTGACTATATCAATATACACAATTAACATGTTTATTTGATATTAGAGGCACACTATCAGAACTTATTTTTTAATCAGGACTTATTATTATTAAATTGTTTTGTCTATTTGTCTATCAATGGCATGTTAAAATGTTTCAACATGTAATTTTACTTGAAGCATGTGGTCATTTCTCGGCCAGAATAAATTGCAAAATAAGTTGATGCTGTCAGTTTAAAGTGTGGCTAGGTGAAATAAAATCACTCAGCAGAAAATCACTCATACCAGTTGTTAAAAACACAGACAGCTTTCTATTTGCGGCATTCCCTCAGCTTCTAAACAGCTGCTAATTAAATTCACTTTCCGTCTCCTGTGACCATCGCTTAGCTTTCTCTCTACCAGTGTCACAATGTTCTTTCTTTCTGCTAACATCTCTGTTAAATGCTAAAAATATTTCTGCAGATCAAATATACTTTTCGTGTTAGGTGTGCTATTTTAGTGCTTTCTTTGTTCTGAAAAACATCAAGATCATGTGAATCCTGAAGGCTATGAGAGCATGTTTGAGTGTGGGTGTTGATAAGATACATCCCAGCACGTGTTCTTCCACTGACGAGACATTTGGATCTCCACGAGCATCACCGTTCTGCAGACCTGAGTGCTTGTGTGCAAAATATATGTGGAGAAACCCCCAGGTTCCTGCTGTCTGCAGGGAGTCTCTTATTCCCACTGCAATCTTGGGAGGATAATCAGCCCACACGTAAACACAGCCCTTGTCAGATCTATGCGATCACGGGAAAACCAGAATGCACTGGGGCATTTGCATCTATAAAGACGTGCACAGAAGAGAAGGTCTGGATGTAGCACAGAAACGGATATGAATACTGTCGGTTTCTTCCTATAGTAGAGGGATTCACTACACAGCAGGAGACCCGATTCAGACATGCTCACAATCTGCATTTGCATATAACATTCAGTTCATATGCAATGGGGGAAATCACACGCTGCAGGAAAAATGTGGTAGCTCACAATGAATGTTTACATTTCATGTAGGATTATCTTCGAACGAACGAACAAACATACATACATACGTACATACATACATACATACACACATATACTCTCTCTCTCTCTCTCTCTATACATATATACTGTATATATAGGGGAGAGTGTGGACAAAATGTTTCCAGGCAATTTTAAATATTTTTTGACATGTGATCATATACAGTAAGCCAGAAGCATTCCCCATTTCTATCTGGCTGTGAGGAAAAGAAACACACATAAAGTGAGTCCATAAAGTGAGAACATAGTGTAAGTGATTAGTGTATAGTGCACCATTTGAGACAAGTTTCTAGACAAGTTTTAAAAACAAATGTTCTCAAATAACTGTTTTATTGTTAATTGGAAATTACAATAATATTTGAAAGAAATTAAATTATATTACATTAAAGAAGTTAAATTAAGTAAAACAAAGTTGCAGAGGAGATTATAAAATAAAATAAAAAGGTTGACAAATAAATGGTAGTTCTATTCATTTTAACTCTGCTATTTTCTTGTAGAAAAGAGATTATTACATTTATTTATAAATAATTTGTTCTAATAACAGTTTTACAAACAATGTTTGGAAATATTACCTAAAATATAATAATAATAATAATAATAATAATTACAATAGGGTTTCAGCACTACGTGCTTGAACCCCTAATAATAATAATAGTAATAATAATAATAATAATAAGACATTAAAGAAAATGATTAAGAAAGTTGCAAAAGAGTAAAAGTAAAATAAAGAGTAGCTCTATTCATTTGAACTCCATTTTTACTTGTATGGCATACAACATACACAAACTACCACATCTTACCACACTCAAACTGTACGTCTACACTCTTAAAAATAAAGGTGCTTCACGATGCCATAGCAGAACCTTTTTGTCTTAATGGTTCCATAAAGAACCTTTAACATCTGAAGAACCTTTCTGTTTCACAAAAGGTTCTTTGTGGCGAAAGAAGGTTCTTCAGATTACAAAAACGCAAGAAAGAGATGGTTCTTTAAAGAACCTTTGACTGAATGGTTCTTTGTGGAACCAAAAATGGTTCTTCTATGGCATCACTTGAAGAACCTTTTGAAGCACCTTTATTTTTAAGAGTGTATATACTTATGACACTATATCTTGATCATTTATTTAAAGGATTTTACAAATCAAAGGCATATGCAAGCATTAACACATTCAAACACACCAACCACTCCAAAACAGTGCTGCCATCCAGAATAATATAAAGCTCTCAACTGATAGTGACTTATCTTCCCTAAGGTGTTTTATTTGGCCTGTACTGATCTCTACAGCACTAGCAGTGTTACTGCTTTTAATATCCTCTGACATTGGTCACAGAGCTTGATAAAGTCCATGCATAAGGCTAACACTGTTATTTTTCATCAGAAAAAGACTGAACAGTAAAGTGGCTTTAATAGTTTCCATCTAAGCTTATTAAGATGGTATCTGTTGATAAGCGAATAGCAAATCTCGCTATTATAGCCGGTGCAGCTTGGTTCTCATGTTATAGCATTTCCCATTATACATTCCAGGACTCTCTCCCTCTCCTCTGGAGGAAGTCTAATCCTGCTGTATTGAATATCCATGCAACCCTGTTTACAGTCTGCCTGCATCCCTACATCCCAGCATCCCACCTCAGCAGAAGTCCACACATAAACATGCACACATACTAACCTCAGTGCAGTAGGAGCGAGGTTTGACGCAGGCTGGGTCACATGATCTGTCAGACACCGGCTCGCTTGTCAACGGGCATCCACCTGCAGGCAAAGAGTTCAAAGTTTTATATAAACATTGTTTAATGACATTGTCACACTCACACACACAAACACATGCCCATTTTCAGCTACGGCATTGACCTGGAGGCAGGAGGCATCAAAGACTCTGCATTCTGTTGCTCTCCCACATTCATCCTCTTTTCTTCTCTCTTTGGTAATGCTAAACAGTGCCAGACATGCTTTACTCCAATTTAAATCAGGCTTAAAACCTCTCGTGTTATGATATTACTGCTGTGTTAACTGATATGCATGCAATTAAAACTCAACTAGATTTGTACATTTTCTGGGGGAAAAAATGGACAGAAAACCTTCCTAGTATTTGGAAAAGCAAGGGTTTTCATAATTTTTTTATGCCATGGACTCCTCAAATATGATGATCCCTTTCTGAAAAACCCCTTCCTAGAATATGTTAGCCAATTTACAGTGTGAAAAATAAAATAAAATAAATAAATATGTAAAATATCCAGAAAAATAGTTCATAGTAAGATGTTATCTATTAAACAACATGTATTTTTTCTACCCACCATTAGTGCTGTTAGATGTGGAAATCTATATTATAGTGTGACTTTTTATCTCATAATTTTTTCACATGTCATAATTATGGCTTTTTATCTTATAATTTTGACTTCTTTTGTCAATTTTGACAATTGAAATGCTGTCATAATTATGACTTAGTATCTAAAATGTTTATCTCATAATTATGATTTTATGTCAGAACTATGAATTAACAAAATATTGGGCTTTTTTTTTTTCTTATGCAGTGGACATGGGCTTTCATAGTTAGACGTACAATTTAAGAATATATTAAATATTTAATATATCTGTATTCACAATTTAATTTAATTTTATTTTATTTTACATTTTCTGAACCCTTGTTCCTTACTTTGTGGACCCTAGGGGTCCCTGGACCCTGTTGCAAGGTATTCTGAGTGTTTTCTAGGTCATTACTAGGATGTTCTGGATGGTTGCTAAGGTGTTCTGAGGGGTTACTAGGGCATTTGTACGTAATTTCTAGCCCATTCTCGGTCTATATATACTGTTCCCTAGATATTCAGACTTGGGCTACTCCAACGTAAATCCATGGGATTTTTGCCCGTTTTATCGTCAGCCAACACAATTAAAAATGATCCTCTTCTTGGGTCGCCTATGTGTACAATCTCAACATCCTTTCGCTCACTTTCCATCTTCCTTTCTACAAATCGCAGCCTGTGGGAATCCACGGTATCTATAAAAGCACTGAAATGGGCAGCCGGCGGCCAGTGCAGGGGTGTTATTTTCTCTAAGCTGGGATGAATCAATACATCCAATCAACAATGAGAGCAGTGAAATAGAACTGCTCCCTAACGCCGGAACCACCCTTGACTGCCGCTGCCAGATACCATGACAATTGTTAAGGCCACAACCAGCACTAGATGTGTCATTTGTGTCCAGTGTAAATCAGAAAGCTGCTTACTGGGTGATACTTGGAAAATTGGAAATGCGTTTTCTCTTTGTGTGTTTTGATGTAAAAATTCATCATTAGCAATACGATAAAGCTATTGTCGTGTTAAAAGATCTCTTCTTTATAGGTGCACTATAAACTGTAAGCATCTGCAGAAACATGTTTACCAATTAGCAGCCTGTATGAATATTCATACTTCTGCACACCTTATTAATATAACTCATGAATATGCATAAACAGGGACCTGGTTGCTGTAGAGGTTTTGATTACAGCCTTAGAAGTTTTGCTGCCCTGTTCTGCCAACCACAAGTGACCAGACTCGTGTGTGCCATCTGGAACGAGGTCAGTTTGGACAGTTTGACATAGAGGACAAATAAACATTTGAAAATCACAGGGATTGATTCCAAGTCGCATTAATATGGCATACAAAACTCAATTAAATCTCATATTGCAATGCATTTATGATGTTCCACAGCAGAGTGTGAGGGGCATACTTCTGTTCCCGTGCATTTCCACGCCTGCACCAAAACAAGGAGAGACGCAGAAGTACACACACACATACACATTAACATGGGAGGACAGCTGGAATAATGGTGAATGGGATTAAATGTGGGTGACACATTGTCATGGATTAAAAGCTTATTTCCATAAAGTATATACAAATGTATAAGAGGAGACAGCGAACACTTCAGCCTTTCCTGACAGGAAATGACAGCATAGGACGTCAACTTTATCTCAAACCACAGTCTGTCATCAAACACTCTCTGAGGAGAGAATATTGACGCTTCTGTCATAGTGATGGTTTCATTTTTTTTCTCTGAATATCAAAAACAGATACAGAGTGGCTTATCTCTGCTTCTACAATTTGTCCACCTGGGGATGCACCATTATTTTCTGCCCTCCTATATACAGTATAAAAATTAAATCCAAATATTAATTCATAAAACTTCTTCCCCTGGTTTCACAGACAAGGCTTAAGCTAGTCCTGGACTAAAATGCATGTTTGAGCGGTTTTAACTGAAAGTAACTTGCACTGACATGTCTTAAAATATGTCACTGCCACTGTTTTGTCTCAAGATGCACACCAGCAATGTTTTTTTCTACTTAAATGTCCAAATTGAACTAAGGTCTAACCCTGGCTTAGGCTAAGCCCTGTCTTTGAAACCGGGCCCTTATGTATTAATTCAAAATATTTTATTTGATTCTATTTTATTTTATTTCTTTTAATATAATTTAATTTCAAACACACCTGTGACATTCAATCCATCAGAGCGCTGGCACCAGACTTGTCGAGACGAGCCTTTCCATGGACCGATCATCCATTTGTACTCATAACACTGGCCCTCTTAAACACATAAAACAGTATTAACAGTGATACATTCAAAAAAATAAATACATAATGAAAACTATAATAATGTTTGTTTTTTTTACAATTTTGTAAACTCATTTTTACAGTGAAACTGTATTGTCTTCCATAAACGCATAGATTTTTGGCTCACCTGTACATGGTCTGGCTTCCCATTCCTGTTCTGGACACTGAAGAAGGTTCTCAGGTTCCTGGGCTAGAACGGCACGAGAACGCACCTGCACCGAACCAAATCCCAGATCGTCCCCGCTGATACAGCTCAGCTGACACAGGCTCCACACAGCCCATTCTGTAAGGTAACACTCACCTGACAAATACATAAACACCTCTGTCAGAAAACTCATGGGTAATTGATATTGGCATTTGCAAAGGTAGTTTGAAAATGTTATGTATTTACTTACTTTTTGTCATTCTGCTAATCGCAAAATTTAAATGTAAACTTTTTTTATTCTAATTATAGATGTAAAATACGTCACAGCTATAAATGTGAATTTTGCTGAAAAATGATATAAAATGGTGCTGAGAGTTCTACAGTGTTACTGGTAGCTGAAGGCATAATTAAATTCACCAAAATGTTTAATAAACAAATAAACTTTGCAAGTGACAAAGTTTCAACTCTGCAGAAGTCCTTGGGGATTTATGAGGAGCTCCAGGCACATAGTCTGTGTGGGCCTAGTGATTCATTAATAGATTTAATCTAAAACCCTAAAGAATTAAAAAAGTTTTTGCATTGTCAACCTACAGGGTCTAACAATAACAAATTCCACTTGCAGACTTTCTTTTTCTTTGTCAGGGATATTAAGACTTTTTTTTTTTGTGATCTCAGGGTGTTTTTTCAACAGAAGTAGGTCAGTCTGTCCCGTTGTAATAGCAGTCCTGATTTGTGAATATTTCCCAGAGTATTAATTATTCATAAAGTTGTCATTCCATAAAGCCCTAATCCTATGATGGTGATTATCAGAGCACGTGCGCAGCGGAACGCCAGAGACAGATGTGACACCTGAGTTCACAGAGTACACTCGAGTCTGTGTGTGAATAGCTGATGAAGTTACACAACACTGGGATGAATATTCAAATGCACAAAGGGTGCATCATCGTCATTTAAGAAACATTTGTGTGAAAAAAGAGATCGGAACAGGAAAAAATAGGGAAGACAGAGGGAGCACAGCGGTAGGTCCCAGATGGAGGTTTATAGAACGGGGCGAGACGGGATGTGTGCCAGGGAGCTACGCTTCAACAATAAAGAATGAATGATGGGGTCAAAGGTCAGAGCAAGTGAAGAACTGTGCAACTTTAAAAAAAAAAGTCACAACTACACTGTGGGCAAAGCATCATGTAACTCACACTACCACAACACAAATCTGCACTGACATGTGCGGGTGTGTTGTTACTGTCACTGTCCCCTAATAAATCCTCAATCACGACTCTCTACTACTGCCACAATGGACATGTCAAAATGTTGTCTTACTATCTGTCACTCACTTGCTGAAATAAAAAGCTTTCAAAAGCCTGTCTGAAAAATAAAAAAAATAAAAAAATATATATATATATATATATTTTTTTTTTTTTGTTTCCATCCATTTCCTGTGAAATTACAGTACTATAATGGACAACAAGCCATGAAGTTTAATTCTCCAGCTTGTATGAGGTAATACAGCAAGATATATGAGGGCGTTGAGTCATAGCTGTGATATCCCAGTGAATATTTCACAGAGTGTCTCATAAAAGATGCCTTGTAAATGTGCCAGAGTAGGTCTGACCAATTTAAAAGTGAGCTAACTGCTAGAGAGAGGAACACAAGATTGTGATTTTTCAAAGTATAAAGGCCAATTTATACTGCTTGATTTTTTTTTTTT